AGACTCAGGGAGCCTTTGCTGGGTGAATAATTGACGTCATTATCGTTTTTATTTTTAATGAAATGAAAACGGTCCATGACTCTGCATGGGCGATGGACAAAAGCAACCTTTGTGCTCACAACGTGCCCGTAAGGGCCGTGCGAGTGGAGCACCTGCGGTTCTCCGGCAGTGACGTCCTCGCTTAACGCGTCGCGGTGTTCACAATCACGTGGTTCTTCCATTGGGGGGGGGGGGGCGGGGGTGGGGGGCACGTTCCGCACAACGCAGGACGCATGTACCGCTATAACGTGGGACGCATGTACCGTTATAGCGTGGGACGCATGCACCGCTATAACGCGGGACGCATGCACCGCTATAGCGTGGGACGCATGCACCGCTATAACGCGGGACGCATGCACCGCTATAACGTGGGACGCATGTACCGTTATAGCGTGGGATGCATGCACCGCTATAACGTGGGACGCATGCACCGCTATAACGTGGGATGCATGTACCACGTTATAACGCGGGACGCATGCACCGTTATATCGCGGGACGCATGTACCGTTATAGCGTGGGATGCATGCACCGCTATAACGCGGGACGCATGTACCGTTATAGCGTGGGATGCATGCACCGCTATAACGTGGGACGCATGTACCGTTATAGCGTGGGATGCATGCACCGCTATAACGCGGGACGCATGCACCGCTATAACGCGGGACGCATGCACCGTTATAACGTGGGACGTATGTACCACGTTATAACGCGGGACGCATGTACCGTTATAACGCGGGACGCGCTTACCGTCATAACACAGAAAGTGCACCGTTATACAGTAACGCGCTTTCGACGACGAACTACTTTCTTGAGCTGTGCGGCTGAGCGGTGCAGTGATACGTTACGCCGAATGATTCAGTAGCGGTGCAGTGATACGTTACGCAGAATGATTCAGTAGCGGTGCAGTGATACGTTGCGCCGAATGATTCAGTAGCGGTGCAGTGATACGTTACGCTGAATGATTCAGTAGCGGTGCAGTGATACGTTACGCTGAATGATTCAGTAGCGGTGCAGTGATACGTTACGCTGAATGATTCAGTAGCGGTGCAGTGATACGTTACGCTGAATGATTCAGTAGCGGTGCAGTGATACGTTGCGCCGAATGATTCAGTAGCGGTGCAGTGATACGTTACGCCGAATGATTCAGTAGCGGTGCAGTGATACGTTGCGCCGAATGATTCAGTAGCGGTGCAGTGATACGTTACGCTGAATGATTCAGTAGCGGTGCAGTGATACGTTGCGCCGAATGATTCAGTAGCGGTGCAGTGATACGTTACGCCGAATGATTCAGTAGCGGGGCGGCGTACGCTCAGTTACTTGTCCCGCCGTCTCCCCTGCGCGTGTGCGTAGTAGCGGAGGCGCGTTGTAACTCGCCAAACGTTATCGTCGTGACGTTATCTGCGGGGGTTCTTTTCTGGTTTTCCGCTCGAAAGGCGTTTTCCAGCTTAGCGCGCGGCACTCTTCGGGAACAACGTCGTTCGTCTACTTGCTACGTCACAGAGGCCCCGCAAAAATTATTTGGGTCTGGCCCTGCCAAGGCAACCGCAGGCGGGACTCGAAATTCAACAAATCTAGGGAGCAAACACCTGGAAAAGCAGTTGCGAGTAGCAGCAACATCATCAATACCAGCTAACATCGTCAATACCAGCTAACATCACCACACGCCTCACCAAAGAGAAGCAGTTCCAGCCCATCGCATTAGTGGGCGAGTTCATTAAAATGTTTGACCGAATATAACGGGCTAATTTTTTTTTACGTTGATCATTTTGTAATGGCCCGCGAACGATGTTATATAAATATCCAAATGGCCCTTTGGCAGAAAAAAAACAAGGTTCCCCACCCCTGCGCTATGACGACGACAACGACGACGAGCGGGTGAAACGGAGGGGCTCGCTCCGCGCGTGAAACGCGAATCGCTGCGACAGTCGCCAACGTCCACGCGCTTGGCGTTGCGTCGAGAGACGTAAGGAGGAAAGTAACGCGGGGATTTGCTGAACGCGAGCACCGCCCGCGCAAATGCGTGGGCATCACAACAACAACAACAAACAACAGTCGCCAGCCGCCACTAAGTGGCGGTCGACGTTACCATGGCTGTTGTGCCAGGCTACGTGCACCCTGGGGCCACGTGAAGTGTGGAATGCTTGTTGCTGACAGGTCACCAGACAGACCCAGGTGCAACGGGTTTGACTTAATGAGATGACCGGCAGATGCACCGCCTGTACTATGCCCACTGCGTCTTATCCGCCCGGCGCTCCACTCGCTGTTTGTGAGCGTTACCCCTCTGCCCTCCGTTGTTGTTGGAGTGCCTCCAACTCCCCAATGGCGGTCCACAGAGGCCGATCTTGACACCACTGGCACCGCTCATCAACAAACCACCACGTCCTCCCGTACCGCGTCAGTCCGCTGTTTGGGAGGGAGACTTACTCGGGTTATTGACACCATTCAAACAAAAGACCGAAGTGGGCCTTGGAGGAGAATGACGGGGACAGCAGGCGAGAGCCCGTCCTCCAGGGAGATGGAGCGATGGCATCATCTTGCGTGCAGGTGCTACGCACATGGCTGCTGCTGCTGATGATGATGAATGTATTTAGACGTTCACCCGTCTGACCAAACCACCCTGAATGCGCCCCAACCTCGCTGGGTCTCAAAGCCTAGCCGGGGATTGAGCCACGGTTACGCTCGGATGAGAGGTAGTCGTAGGCTTGTCCTGCGAAATGGACTTGGCAGCATGTGGCTCGTACGGCGATGATTTCTCGAATCTATCCGCGCGGATCTTTGGAGCGTCATCCCCTCGTGTGTTCACGGTGGGGTTTTCTCCGGGTCCTCGAGTGTTTTTGCCGGTACGTGCCAACCAACCAACCACACCCACCCATTCATTCATTCATAAAATCCCTTCGTTCCTCCTGAACGTAGACACAGGCCATCGTCGTTATTATTACTCCCGACTAATGCTGGTGGTGCAGTGGTTATTGGCACGTTGGCGCTGTGAACCCGACGATCGGAGTTGGATTCCCAGCCACGGCCCGACGTCAGCGGCAAGTGATGAGTCGACCGCCCCCTGACCCTCGGCCCTTCACCAAGCACGCACGGTCAAACAATAACGCGCTCCGTCCAACACGCGCGCCGGTCAGCAGCAGCGGAAGAGTAGACCAAACGCGTCCGCTCCGGTCGCAGGCCCTTCCGCCAACCCTGTGGCTCGAGCGGGCTGCTTTGCGGGGCCGCTCCTGTACCTCTTCGTTTTAATTGAAGGTGCTGCGGGAGGGAGGGAGGGGTGGGTGGGTGGGTGGTGGTGGGGGGGTCAAAGCGGGTGACTGGAAATAACGATGTTAATCGAGCAAACAAGGAGCAGCGCCTCCCGCGTGAAGACCGTCCATCGTCCACGCGCGGGTGACCTTTATCCGCTGCCCCTGAATGGTGGCTAACGAACGCACACTATTTTTATTTTATCTCTGAGCGCTTTCCGCGACCTTTGGAGGCAATAGGCAAGCTCCGTTGCCTCCCACCGCTGGCGTGCTACTTTTATTGGATCAAAAAAAAAACACAGTTCCTGCAAAATCGTGACCGCGCTGTTATGATGTCCACGACATATATGTAGTCACGATGCAACAAAACGTTCTGTTCACGTGAATAATATCGGTCGCGAATGCCGCACGCGTTAGAGCGCGCGGCCGTTATAATTACAGCAGATGCCAAAGCCGCTTTGAAACAATCACCTCGTCGTAAATTGTCCTCGTCGTTGTCATCAGAATCGTCGTTCCTGAATCACGGCCGGATGATAAAAGTCTTCGCACGGCGTTGCCACTTGCGCACTGCCACAAAATTACTCCCCCACCCCCCCTCCCCCCTCCCCCCCCATGCACCCGATCTTCATTAGATATCGCAAGCTAAGCTGGTGTTGAACCTGGTTAGTGCGGCTACTTGGGCGGGAGACTGCCTGGGAATTGGAGGCTGAAAGGTTTGCCAGGAGGTGGCGGCAGCAGCAGCAATGGATCCTTGACCTCCATCTGTGCGGGACATCGACTGTGATGAGATGTCACAAGTTAGGGGCTGCGTTTATATGTCAAAGAATGAATGATCACTCTCTCTCTCGTCTCGTTTTGACCATCTCGTCTTATTATGATTTCCCCTTCCCCCATCATTTTTAGACACGCGACGTACTTACTGCAGTGTATTGTTGCCGCGGCGTTAACGGTCAGCACACCGGACTTGCAATCCAGAGGTGTAAAGGTTTCGGTCCCATCTAGCGGCGCGGCAGTTGAATCATCGGCGCAAGTTTTCTTAAATCCCTGCCGCCACCACCTCTGTCCAGCCTGCAGGATACGCGGGGAACGCCGTGGTTTCGTTGACAGTGTGCGGTGGGGTAAAGCGAGGGTAGACCTCTTTCAAGTCGTCTGCTCCGCGTTGAGTTGCAGGCAAAAAAAATCGGGGGCCCTCTGGAGCCCCGTCTAGCGGAGGGCTCCTTCCTCCAGCTGTGTACACGAGCACAGCAATTGCACGGGGCTGCACTTTTTGCCTTGTTTCGCTGCTCGGAGGCCGGTGAAACTGTTTGGTGCGATGGTGGAGAGATGTTAACTACCTCGCCTGGTATGCAGGAGGTCGTGGGTGCGATCCCGACCCTCACGTCTGTGTACTTGGAGTTCGCGTGTCTCTCTCTCTCTCATCATCATCACGGTGGCTAGGAGATGTTAACTACCTCGCCTGGTATACAGGAGGTCGTGGGTGCGATCCCGACCCTCACGTCTGTGTACTTGGAGTTTGCGTGTTCTCCCCGTGATCGCGTGGAATTTTCTCCGTGGCCCTCCGGCTTTTCCCTCCACATTTATAAAAATGCGTGCAGAGTATTTGGCTGCGAATGAATAGCTGCAGAGCAGCTCAGCCTTACCTGGTAAAAAAATATATATATTTTGTTACATTTAGAAACACGACCGGTAAACGTGCGCTACTTTCCGACTTCCCGCCAGATTCGTGGACGGGATTGAGGACGACGGCTCCGAGTCGACAGGGGTCAAGTTTGAGTTCAACCTGCAGCTCGCCGGGACCCAGAGCAGCCCGGTCAAGTCCCACGTGCAAGGTGGATGCGCGCACGTACGCGCGTACGCACACGCACACACGCACGCGCATACGCACACACGTACGCACGCGTACACACGTACGCGCGGATGCACACACGCACGCGCATACGCACACACGTACGCACGCGTACACACGTACGCGCGGATGCACACGCACACTTTCACGCGCTCCGCAACGCTTAGTGATAACCTGTAAAAGGAAAAAAATCCAACCAGTATTTACACGAAGCAAAGCCGACGGATAACAATTTCCTCGAATTCCTAATAAAAATAAGTTTCTCTTGAACGTGTGGCGGCGTTTCACGAGCGTGACAATTATCACCTCAGTTGTAAAACTATTAAACTATCTTTCTTTGGGGCCTTTCGGTAAAGCCACGTAGATAGAAAAATATTTTTTTAAACAATATATGAATCCCTGCAGTCACGAAAGCTTTAAGTCAACATTTAAACCATTTTATTTTTTTATTGTTTTATATTTTTATTGTTTTATTGTTTCCCTTCTACGTGACTTTACCGAAAGAACCAAGAATATTTAAACCATCTTTATTATTTTTTACCAGGTAAGGCCCCGGCTGAGCTGCTTTGGAGCTCATTTTCGGGAAGCGACCCCGGCTATCACAAACGATAGCTCACCGAAGTTAGCGGATTATCATCGCGTGGTAATTTGTAGGAGCAGCCAAATATTCTGAATGCACGTCGATTCTAAATGCGGAGGGGAAAATCGGAGGACCGGGAGAAAAATCCACGTGACCACGGGGAGAGAGAGAGAGACATGCAAACTCCAAATATTACAGCTGCAGGCGTCAGGGTCGGGATCGAACCTACAACCTCCTGTACACCGGGCGACGGAGTTAACATCTCATAGCCACCGTGGCGCCCCGATTAATGTAGTGGGAGTGCTGGCCCATTTGGGATCCAGAGCAGAAATAACTTCTGCCCCCCCCCCCCCCTTGCAAGATGACAGAAGAGATGTAGACATAGATGCAGATGCGGCGAGGTGAGATGAGCCATGATATGACGAGAGAGATTAATATTCACGTTAAGTGAGCTTGTCACGTTTATGAGGATATCGAGTCGAGTTTAACATTTGATGAGCTTATATATTTTTGTCCGTAAATCCGGCGTCCCCGTGAACTACTTGGGGCTCTGACCTTTTGACTTGATTTTGCTTAATGCCTGACCCCCACCACTGATCAAATGTAGTAGATGCATTAGAATAGACTTTACCCTTTCTGGCAATAAAGCAGGTGTTAAGATGTTCAAACGCCAAACAGATACATTTTTCAAGCAATAAAGTCTGCATTAACCATGCGTACTTGTGGTGAACATGCAGACAAACATCTATTTTAATTTTGATTTAAAGCTTTCGTGACTGCAGGGATTCATATTCTTGGTTCTTTCGGTAAAGTCACCACGTAGGAGGGAAACAATAAAATAATAAAAATTATTGCTTTATATTTTTATTATTTTATTGTTTCCCTTCTACGTGACTTTACCGAAAGAACCAAGAATATCTATTATAATATATACATTGTCTTTGAAACTGATTGGCCTATACTGGTCTCATCATTGTCAGCCCAGAGAACGCCATAAAGCGAACAGTACAAAGACAGTGCACGTATCAGAGCATTTATAGCTGGGGGTGAGCAGCTTTATCATGGGACCTTTTTTGCCAGTATCAAAACATGTAAAATTAGAATCGGGTTTACCCTTTCTGGCATATAAAACAGGTGTTCAAATGCCAATTAGATACCCTATTAGATGGCTTAAAGAAAGTTATATTCTTGGTTCTTTCGGTAAAGTCACGTAGAAGGGAAACACAATTTCTTGCTGTGGTTTTCACACCTGATGATGGTTGCTTGTGTTGCAGTCGAAACGTCGTGAGAATTTTATTGTTTTATATTTTTATTATTTTATTGTTTTTCCCTTCTACGTGACTTTACCGAAAGAACCAAGAATATTAATCCCTGCAGTAACGAAAGCGTTAAATCAAAATTTATAGAAAGTTGTTACCACTTACCATTTAGTGAGGTGCCCTTTTGACGCTGGCTTCCCGTGCGAGCAATTTAAGAATGTTGAAAATACCATACTCTTTGGTTCCTTCGGTAAAGTCACGTAGGTAAAAAAATATATTTAAAAAATCACGACGTTTCGGGCGCGACACAAGCGTCCGTCATCGGGTGAGAAAGCGTGGTCTGCTGCTGAGGCAGACTCTTTACCGAAATAATCAAAGCGTATGGATTCCTGCAGTCACGAAAGCTTCAAATCAAGGTTGAAAATACCGTTCCACGAAGCCGAGGGGGCGGCTGGGTGGCTCAGAGGTCAGAGTTCAGAGCCTCGATTGCACACCGCTGAGAACCTGAGTTCGAATCTGGGCTTCAACCTGCACGCGATTAAAGCCGATGCTCAGTTGCAGCGATGTGACGGTCTCAGCCTGGTTACCAATGACTGAAGGGAAAAAAAACATCACGCATAAAATTTCAAATCTAGATTAAATCATGCATAAGGTTTCGTGGAACGTGGGAAAGTGCGCCCCCTGTAGTGTAAAGTAAAAAAAGGCCACTTGAAGATACATTTTCGGAGTTGGGCCAATTACATTCCATTCAAGCAGGTCCCCATGCCAATCAGAATCAGAATGTTTATTTGTACTGGAGGAATCCGATGAGTTATGAAAGCTCTTTTTCGCAAGATTCCCAGTGGTTTCGCAAGATGTCCAGTGGATCACGCTACGCCACTGAGTGCCGCTTGCGGTCGGTTTCCACTTCGGCAGAATTACCGCAAGGGACATAGAGCCCCACCACAACATTTGACGTATGCAGCGTTTTGCCTTCCGTAGTTTCGAAACGTTCTCAAACAGCAGGCAGGCGTGATCCGCGAACGATCCCGTTTAACGCCGCAGCCTAATATGTGTGTCCATCTTATTCTTAGCTCTTTCGGTAAAGTCACGTAGAAGGGAAATAATAAAAGAATAAAAATAAAACTTAATAAAAATATTATTATTTCCCCTCTACATGGTGACTTTACCGAAAGAACCAAGAAGATGAATCCCTGCAGTCACGAAAGCTTTAAATCGAAATTTTACTTGTATCCGTTCTAATTCCCATACGTAAATGACCCCGCTATTATGGGTTATGGACATTGAGCCGATGTCATTTTAATGGAATGACCCGGATTATTAGTGATTATTACCTGCTAAACGTGCACGAGATTTACACTTCCTGCCAAATGTTATTTTTAGCTTTAATTCTAAAGCTACCTGCAATGTCTTGGCCTGGCCCCGTGTCCTGCAGCGTTGGCGATAGTTGGGATTTTTGACCCCCCGGTTCAAGATTATTCAGGCCATGAACTTGCGTGACTCCTGGTACAGGTGAAGAGAGTGGCGCTGGCAGAGGAGTGGGGGCAAGGCCTTTGTGCTGTGCGGGCGTGGCCGAGAGGCCACTCCCTCGCGTGGGCGGAGCTAGTGGCCCGGTGGGCGTGGCTACGTGAAAGTGGGCCGGCTCCCTCCCCCCCAAACAATGGCAGGAATAGGCCAATAAATTGTCTAAAAATTGCCGCTCCAGAGCATCTAAGTTGCAAAACTAAGGGGTAAGGGAGGAAGCTTACCACCAAACATTGAACCCCCTTCACTACATCTCCTTTTTCCTCTTCTCCTTCTAGGGTATGAGAGCTTAGGGGCCGTCCATAAATGACGTCACGCACATAGGAGGGGGGGGGGGTCAGACATTTGTGACGGTGTGTGACGAGGGGGGGTTTGAGAAATGTGACGTCACATCAAAATGCGCAACTTTAAATAAATATAGACAACACGTTCTACTTAATTAAATATACTTTTTAATTAATGTTTTCTCCTACAACACCAGAGTGCAGCGCCACATTAAATACGCACTACAATGACAATAGTTTAAAGCGATTTGAAGCGTGTTTTTTTTGGGGGGGGGGGGCAGAGCTTTGTGACGTCATATTTAAAGGGGGGAGGTCTGATTTTTCGTGACGCCGTGTGACGAGGGGGGGGTCAAAAATCGTCCAAAATCGCGTGACGTCATTTATGGACGCCCCCTTAGGAAGACAGCAGGGAGCTGTACAGTTTATTGAAACCGGTTCATTGAAACGTGCGCTTTAAGGTAGGTTTCCATCAACTCCCCGTTCATATCCTGCTCGTTTTCTTGATTTAAAAAAAAAATTACTTTTGGAGAAGAAGAAGAAACAAAAGTCAAAGTGGGCCAGCTCGCCACGTGTCCTCTGGTGGAGCATCTCAGACAGAAATGTGCTGCAAATTTATTGAATGCCCCCCACCCCCCCACCCCCACCTCGGTTTGACGACTTCCCAGAAGGCGCGCTGGTGTTCCCGGGCTGTCCATCCAGTGACTCGACAGAATGCGACAACCGCCAGAACATCTGCAAGCTCAACCAGGAGGTGAGAGGCGAATACCCTGTCAACCCATCACGGTTTTTCCACGTGTTCTTGTGCACGGGACATTGAGTGTTTCAGGTCCATACGGCGTACAGCCGTTTTAATACGGGCAAAACGGTTTTTTTTTTGTTTGTGTCAATTTGTTTGTGTTTCTCCCATTGTGGTGGGACTATGCAGGATGAACGTTAAGATTTATAAGGGGCACGGGGGGTGACCGATAAGGTCTGAATTGGTCTGTAATAAGATTGGGCACTGACAAGGGGTTGACAGCGAGCACAGTTAAAAGCGTGGGTACGAGTCGTGCAGTGCTTTCCGGCGTGTTCGCGTGCGTGCAAGGATGTTTTATTTTGTATTTTTCTTGTCAACGATCCGAGGTCCTAAATCCACCCGATGTCTTCGGATCTCGGACGCCAAGCAGGGTTCAATCTGGTTGGATAGCAGGGCACTGGGGCTTGTCAGGTGGTGTAGTCACAGGCTGCGAGGCATTCACGAGATGGCAGGAGAATGCTGCATTCTGGAATCATGTTTTAGGGCCGCGAGTATGTTCAAGAATTGACCATTTGTTTGTCCCGGTCTTACCGTCTTTATTGTATTGTCTATCCCAGTCTCTCTCTCTCTCTCTCATCTGGTTGGGCTTCCTTCTTCGCACACAATAAACGTAACATCACCTGAAGGCGCGTGCTGCTGACAAAGAGCAGCAGAGCACGGCTCGTACCATGTGTGACATGCATGTCATGTGACCGCAACATGACAAGTATAGCGGTGTCAGCCCTGTCCAGAGATCTGTTAGATTAGGACAATGTTGTTTTTTTATTCTTCTTATTCTAAAGGCTTAAGAAGTAAATATGCAGTCCAGACTCACCACTTTTAGAAATGGCCTGACATTGCAATGCAAATACTCCACTCTCGTAATCTGTGAATCGCACGACGCGAAAGTACAATTTGTGAACGATTTTTTTTGTTATTTGTTTCAAATCGCTCCCTGCCAATGCCGTCCCATAATTAAAAAGTTGGGAGCGCATGCTCCCCTTATTAGCGGCGATCCTCCCGTGACAACGCGAGACAATTGACCCCCGAAACAATTGGGAGCTTCGTGACATTTCGCGCAAAGTTGACGCGTCGCTTGCCGTTCAACGCAAACCCGAAGTGCAATTCGCTGCGTCATGGGCTGGTTAACCACCGCTGTGGGTTTGTGAAACACTCAAAACCCGCTGGGCTTCGAGTGTGGCGAGTCGGTGGCAGTACAGCAAATGGGATTGTGGCCGATGTGGGTTGATTTTTTTGCAAGGTTGCCGAAGCACGGTGCGAAAGAAGTTCAACATACGTATAGGAACATTTAAAAGCCACTGGATATAGATTGAAAACTCATTTCTTTAGAAACCGCTTTTTGTGTGTTAGTTTGTTGTCCTTCCTCCGCATCTCCGATCAGCACGGTTGTCAACATTCGGTGTGAACGTCCAACATACATACATTCACAGCTCCACGTCTACAACGCCTGGCGACTAGCCCTGATGGTCACCCTTCTTCTCCAAGTACACACTAACCAGACTCAACCCCCATTCGGCTTCTGAGATCTGACGAGATGGGCCACGTTTTGGCTCATCTGTTCGACGGCGTCAGACACCTTAAGCGGCTTTGCGTGCTGTGCGTGCTTCGCTCGCTCTGCGTGCAGATGTCCACGCTGACTCGGGAAGTCTCTCAGCTGAGCCAGGACCTGCGCAGCGTCATGCTGCTCCTCAAGATGTTCCTGCCGGCCCAGCCCAAACCCGCGGCGGGCGCTGAACCGGGCAGCTCGTGTCTCGCGCAGGCGCCGGCGCCGCCCGGCGACGATCGTTTCGGGGCGCGGCCCCCCGCCTTCGCCGCGTGCGACGACGCGGGCGGCACGCCCGCCGACGGCCGCTCCGCGGGGCCCGGCGCGAGGCCTCCCGCCGGTTCGACGGCGGCGGCCGCGGCGGCGGCGGCGGCGGCGGCGGCGGCATCCCGCGCGACGAACAATCCCGCGGCGCGCCGCTGCGGCCGCGCCCGGACGTGCTTCTGCAGAGGCGGGCGCGACGCGAGCCTCCTCAACTCCAATTTCAACTGCCTGCCGTGCAACCGCGGGCCGAGCGGCGACGCCCGGCCCGCGGTCGGCCGCGGCCGGGCCGAGCCGCCCGTCGGTTTCCACGACGACGACGCCGCCGCCGCCGCGAGCCCCGACCCCCGCGGCCCGAGGGGATTCATTCCGGAGGCGGCGCCGGACGCGCGGGGTTCCGCTGCGGGGGACGGCGGGTGGCACGATCTGGCCGAGAGGGGGGCGGTCGGGTGTCGCGGTGCCGAGCGCGTCGCGATGGAGCGGGCGCGTCCGCCGGGGACGCGCCGCGCCGACGACGCCGGCGCCGGCGGCCCCGCGCCGTCTCGCGGGGCCGACGTTCCGGAGCTCATGGCCCTCGAGCTGCTCAGGACGTCGGCGGCGAACGCCTACCACGGCGGCACGGAGCTTGTCGATAACAAAGTGTAGGGCGGGAACGGCACCGGGCCGTTTTAAAAACGAGTCTTTTGAAAAGAGCGTAGGGGGCACGGTCTTCGCCCCCGTGGGATGGGGCGAGCGAATGTGCGTGCATGTTGAACTTCTTTCGTCAACGTACATAGCCAAACGCGTGAATCGGAGATGCGGGGGAAGGACAATAAACTAAACACGAAAAGCAGTTCTCAAGGAAAAAGCTTTCAATTCAGATTTAAAAGTGCATAGAGGCCGTCCATAAATGACATCACGCACCTAGGAGGGGGGGGGGGAGGGGGTCAGATATTTGTGACGATGTGTGACGAGGAGGGGGGCAGGGGGTTTGAGAAATGTGACGTCACATCAAAATGCGCAACTTTAAATAAATATAGAATTGTTATAACAACACTAATTGTTATAACAACACTCCTTACAACACCAGAGTGCAGCGCCAGATTAAATACGCACTACGATGACAATAGTTTAAAGCGATTTTCAAAATGGAAATATGGTTTTGGGGGGGGGTTAGAGCTTTGTGACGTCATATTTGAGGGGGGGGGTTAAAAATCGTCCAAAATCGCGTGACGTCATTTATGGACGGCCCCATAGCTCCAGTGGCTTCCTAATATCGGAAAAAAGGGAATCCACACAGACCCATACATGCTCAACTGACTCTGCTGATGAGACAATTAGCGTCAAAACCGGTCCAATTGATGCACTCCCAAAGGCCGTGCAGCCAATATGCTGAGCAGACACGCAACTTTTGTATTTTATATGGAAAGGATAAATATGGGAAGGAGGCATTATTTATATTTAGATATAAATACGTCAATTATAGTCATTTCAGCGGAAATTGCACAGGAATGCTGCGTGCATTTTGAACCGCTTTCACACCGTACGTAGCCAACCGGAGGTACGGTGTATGTGTGTTGAACTTCTATCGCACCGTACGTAGCCAACCGTGCTAATCGGAGGGAGGCGGGAATTAACAACAAACTAACCACACACGAAGCACTTCTGCCTGGTAATGGAATGGCGTGATGTGGCCTAGCGTGGTGAACAGCGAAATTAAATGGTGTGGGACGCCGGTAGTGAAGATGCACGATTAGGAAATGGAATTTATGTGCCGATTGGGAACAAAATCTAGCTGTTCAAGTAATGCATTCCAGCGTGTGCGTATGGGGCCCTCCATAAATGACGTCACGCGATTTTGGACGATTTTTTATCCCCCCCCCCCCCCTCGTCACACGGCGTCAACACAAAAAGTCAGACCACCCCGCAAATATGACGTCACAAAGCTCTGCCCCCTCCCCTAAAACCATATTTTCCATTTAAAGCTTTCGTGACTGTAATGATTCATCTTCTTTGGTTCTTTCGGTAAAGTCACGTAGAATGAGAATAAAAAATAAATTGATAAAATAAAATAACACAATAATATTCTCACGTTTCGGCCACAACACAAGCGGCCTTCATCAGGTGTCCTACCAGACAGTCTCGTCCCTTCACCTGATGAAGGCCGCTTGTGTTGTGCCCGAAACGTCGTGAGAATATTATTGTGTTATTTTATTTTATCAATGTATTATTTTATTCTCATTCTACGTGACTTTACCGAAAGAACCAAAGAAGACATATTTTCCATTTTGAAAATAAAACGTGCTTCAAATCGCTTTAAACTATTATTGTAGTGCGTATTTAATGTGGCGCTACACTCTGATGTTGTAGGAGTGTTGTTATAACAATTAGTGTTATAACAATTTAAAGTTGCGCATTTTGATGTGACGTCACATTTCTCAACCCCCCCCCTCCTCACAATAGTTTGACCCCCCCCCCAGGTGCGTGACGTCATTTATGGACGGCCCCTTAACTCTGTAACTCGTTTATTTGTGTGCATGTAAATCCAGTGGACTGGGTGCGTAACGGCCTGGCCAGAGACGTGTCTCTCACCAAATAGAACACGTGGGCATGGTACGGTTACAACATCATCGTTCACTTACAACATCGTTCACTTACAACATCATCGTGCACTTACAACATCGTCCACTTACATCATTGTTCACTTACATCATCATCGTTCACTTACAACATCGTTCACCTACAACATCGTTCACTTACATCATCGTTCACTTACATCATCATCGTTCACTTACATCATCATCGTTCACTTACATCATCATCGTTCACTTACAACATCGTTCACTTACATCATCGTTCACTTACATCATCATCGTTCACTTACATCATCATTGTTCACTTACATCATCATCGTTCACTTACATCATCATTGTTCACTTACATCATCGTCGTTCACTTACATCATCGTTCACTTACAACATCATCGTTCACTTACATCATCGTTCACTTACAACATCGTTCACTTACAACATCATCGTTCACTTACAACATCATCGTTCACTTACAACATCATCGTTCACTTACATCATCGTCGTTCACTTACATCATCGTTGTTCACTTACATCGTCGTTCACTTACATCATCATCGTTCACTTACATCATCGTTCACTTACATCATCATCGTTCACTTACATCATCGTTCACTTACATCATCATCGTTCACTTACATCATCGTTCACTTACATCATCATCGTTCACTTACATCATAATCGTTCACTTACAACATCATCGTTCACTTACATCATCATCGTTCACTTACATCATCGTTCACTTACATCATCGTTCACTTACATCATCGTTCACTTACAACATCGTCGTTCAATTACAACATCGTTCACTTACATCATTGTTCACTTACAACAACATCGTTCACTTACAACATCATTGTTCACTTCCATCATCATTGTTCACTTACAACAACATCGTTCACTTACAACATCATTGTTCACTTACATCATCATTGTTCACTTACAACAACATCGTTCACTTACATAATCATTGTTCACTTACAACATCATCGTTCAACAACGCGCGTCGCTTCGGCTTTCATCGGCTAACCGCCTCGGACAGCGGCTCTGGTTGCCGGGCGACGTTTTCCTTCCCCCCCGTCACCCCCACGCGTTGTTTTTTACTAAAAGGACCGGGGAGAGTTTCGACGGCGGGTTGTGAGAACCGAGCGCCTGGGGAATGAAGCGACGAGGTGGCAACGGAGCCGGAGCCGGTTGCTGTGGAGTTTAAAACAACAACAACACGGTCGCGTTTTGTGGGGCCCACCGAGCACGGGATATCTGCCCGTGCGGGGACCCCCTTGCGAGTGACACTTGGAAGAACGATCTTACAGTTACATCATGCTAATTTCTCACGTTAACATCATGCTAATTGCTCACGTTAACATCGTGCTATTTTCTCACGTTAACATCATGCTAATTTCTCACGTTAACATCGTGCTAATTTCTCACGTTAACATCATGCTAATTTCTCACGTTAACATCGTGTTAATTTGTCACGTTAACATCATGCTATTTTCTCACGTTAACATGATGCTAATTTCTCACGTTAACATCATGTTAATTTCTCACGTTAACAGCATGCTAATTTCTCACGTTAACATCATGCTAATTTCTCACGTTAACATGCTAATTTCTCACGTTAACATCGTGTTAATTTGTCACGTTAACATCATGCTATTTTCTCACGTTAACATCATGCTAATTTCTCACGTTAACAGCATGCTAATTTCTCACGTTAACATCATGCTAATTTCTCACGTTAACATCATGCTATTTTCTCACGTTAACATCATGCTAATCCCTCACATTAACATAGCCACTTCCGTGCCCTCGTCCAAGAGGCCGCTCTCCTAGCTTGCTTTCACATGCTAATTTCTCACATTAACATCATGCTAATTTCTCACATTATCATGCTAATTTCTCACATTAACATCATGCTAATTTATCACGAGCATCATGCTAATTTCTCATATTAACATCATGCTAATTTCTCACGCGAACATCATGCTAATTTCTCACATTAACATCATGCTAATCATGCTAATTTCTCGCATTAACATCATGGTAATCCCTCACATTAACATAGCCACTTCCATGCCCTCGTTTATGAGGCCACTCTCCTTCTATCTTAGAGTTACATGCTAATTTCTCACATTAACATCATGCTAATTTATCACATTAACATCATGCTAATCATGCTCATTTCTCACATCAACATCATGCTAATCATGCTAATTTCTCACATTAACATCATGCTAATTTCTCACGTTAACATCACTAGCCCCGGCCACTTCTTTATGACCCTTGGGCTACAGCCATTTCACACCTTTATAAAACAGTCTGCCTCAGCAGCAGACCAAGGCTTTCCCGCTTGTGTTGCGCCCGAAACGTCGTGATTTATTTTATTTTATACCAAAAGAACCAAAGAGTATGGATTCCTGCAGTCACGAAAGCTTCAAATCAAGGACTGATTTCATCCTGTGCTCAAAGGGGCCCACCAGGAATTGTCAGTGGGTTTGAGAGAATTTTAAAAACAAATTTTATTACGACGGATTTTTTTGGTGCGTAAGCGCCAGTTAAAGAAAAAAAACTCGCCACCTCCGTCGTTGACGCTGCATTTATAACAGAGATCTTCTTCATGCGTCATCTTCCTTGGTATGACAGCGCGACTAGCAGCGTTGTGCGCTGTAGTGGAAGGCCGGTGAGCCAGGAGCGATGTTGGTGAGCCAAGTTGTATGTAGGTATGTTGAACTTCTTTCACACTGCCCGTAGCCAACCGCGCTCATCAGGGGCGCGGGACTAAAGACAACAAACTGAACACACAAAAAGCAGTTCTAAAGAAGTGGGTTTTCAATCTAGACGATTTAAAAGTGCGTTTCTCGAGTGGATTCCTAACATCGTGAATGCGGTTCGATCGGTGAGCCAAAAATCCGCTGCTGCGAGGAGAACCGGAGCTCGCGTGATGATGGTGTGCTGCTCCTTGACGAGGTCGGCGTGCAAAGTTGATGGCGGCCATGTCAGCGATGTCTCGAATTTCTTGCGACGCTGCCTGCGAACAAGCGAAACTTCGGGTGACCGCCGGATGGCGTGTCCCAC